AGATTGTCGAAACAAGGAAAAGAAAGTAAAATAGTGTTTGAGCTTTCCGGCAGAGTTGCCAGGTCATCATCATCGGTCATCTTTTTTTGCTCCATTCTCATGTCCTGTTATATTCGTGCTACATAAATGTCTCAGCCATTTGGAATTTTCATAGCTAATGGCTTACAGGCAGGGTACATGGCTGACTGGGCCGTTATGAACAGTTTGCATTGTATCATGTACTTGTCTTGATTGCCTTTTCAGCCGTCTTTCTGTTTTAATTATAAATGTTTTCTTTTCTCTCTACTCTGCCACCAAAAGAGTCTTTGGCTGCTCCTGACCTGGGCAAATCAAGAGGTGACTTATGCATGCCAGTTGTTGATTGATATGCACTAAAAATTGGCAAAGATCGGGCCCCAGCGCTGACTTGCTTCCCTCGTTCGCTCGGTGGATGCGCAGTAACCAAGTCCCTCCTTATTTGCGCCCTGCATTCTAAACGCCATCCGCTCGCCTTTCCCTCTCTGGCGTAGGATTTCACAATCCTAAGGGAGAAAAAAAACTGTCCAAACATTGGGAGGGTTTTTAAAAAAAAAATTATTATACTTTTATATTCTCTAAAGTGATCTGTAGACTTTTAACAAATAACAAATTGATGTGGTCTATCAAAAATGTATTATGTTTCAGCGTTTGCATTTTGCTTGATTTGGAAGCATGCTTTGATACACACCTGTATTCATATACTTCATTGTGTTTTTTAGGGCTAATGAAAAATAGTGTAACTTTTTATATGAAACTTACTACATTATCATTATTATAGAGGACATTTTTAAGATGTTAGCATGTTAAAGATGACTTTTACTATTTTAAAGAGTTGCATTAAAGAGTATTTTTCAATGACAAGTAGTTAGTGCAGATCAGGTGACATTTGTTACTTGACATGGAGACCTCTTTGAAGGGACACAACTTCCTCCCTGTGTCCTGAGCTGAGCCAACCCCCTCTTCACATGGAGCGGAGGGTTGGGCATCGCAGACGGGCAGCTGAAGGACCGGGGTCCTTGGGGGAAGGTGCATGCCTTAGATGCTAGCACACGGCTTCTGTGCAAATTCTGTTTCCTGAAGCGGAAGGCACTTGCCTAAAATGAAGCCCACATTTTAGGAAGTGAGCCTGGTTCTGAGGGGCTCTCAGAACTGGGCTGGGTTGGGGGATGTCTTCAGAGCAAAGCCGGGGGTCTGCAGAGGATGCGCCTGCGCGTGTGTGAGGCCTGGCGCCTCTGCTGCTGGACGCTCTGAGCACTCTCCCCGCGGCCCGGTCTCGGGGGAAAGCACGCTGACACCTGCCGTTTTGTCTCCTGCCCAGGCTACCACTGGGACACATCGGACTGGATGCCCCCCGTCCCGCTGCCGGACATCCAGGAGTTCCCCAATTACGAGGTGATCGACGAGCAGACGCCCCTGTACGCGGCAGATCCCAATTCCATCGACACAGACTATTACCCCGGAGGCTACGACATCGAGAGCGATTTCCCGCCCCCGCCCGAGGACTTCCCCGCGCCCGACGAGCTGCCCCCGCTGCCGCCCGAGTTCAGTGACCAGTTCGAGTCCATACACCCTCCTCGGGACATGCCCGCCACGGGCAGCGCGGGCGCTTCCTCCCGAAACCGGCAGCGGTTCCACTTGAACCAGTACCTGCCCCATTTCTATCCCGTCGACCTGTCGGAACCTCAGAAAGCCGGCGCTTACCCGCCCGGGTACCCCCGGAACTGTGACGCCCCCACCGCCGAGCACGTGCCCCTGGCCGTGTACGCCTCCACGGCCTCCTGCTCCGACGTGTCCGCGTGCTGCGAAGTGGAGTCCGAGGTCCTGATGAGTGACTATGAGAGCGGCGACGACGGCCACTTCGAAGAGGTGACGATCCCCCCGCTCGATGCGCAGCAGCAGCAGCACACGCAGGTCTGACACCCCGACTCCCCCCGAAGTGCCTGGACTTGAGGGAACCCCGCGGTTCTATGAATGGCCCGCAGTGTTCTCTGCAGCGCTGGCTGCAGGGAGCTGCGGTGGGCGCGGCTGCACCGCACCCGCCTCCCCGCGTTCGCCATTTCCAGTGTCCTCACCTACTGTAAGCGAGCAGGTGTCGTCGGCTGTGCCGCGTCCCAGCGGTTGCTTTGTATTTGCGTTTTGTCTGTGTTAACGATAATGAAACGGAAACCTGTCCTGCCATCTTGTTAGCATGATTCATGTATTTATATAGATTTGATTATTTTAAATTTCCTGTCTTCCCTACTCCCCCCCCCTTTTTTTTGTAAATGTTTATGTACAGATTTAATTTTTCATAGTTTTAACTCGATTTTTTTTTTTCAAGACATTTTGTGGGGTTGGTTTGTGTTGTTTTTACCGGATTTGGGTGGTGTTAGTGTCATTGCCTAGCACCCTGATCGTTTCCGATAACCAGGGTTTCACGCTATGTCCTTTTTCACGGAAGTTTGACATTTCATTCATACATTTCAGTGTAGTCATGCATTTCTAGGTGTACATAGGATGAGGAAAAGGTCTGATCCATGCCATGTCTTAAATGGGTTGCTGTATTTTAGAATTATCAAACATTTTTCATTATTGGAAAGTGTAAGGGGACCTTCTGCATACCTGTTTAGAACCAAAACCATCATGACACAGTTTTTATAGTGTCTGTATATTTGTGATGCAACGGTCTTGTAAAGGTTTTTACTGAAAACTACCATTAGCCAGTCTTTCTTACTGACAATAAATTATTAATAAAATATTTTAGCTTTACTGCCTGTTTTTCTTTCACATTTATACACCTGGTCAGGATTTAGTTAATGAGTTGAGAAGGATGGGTGGATGGGTGAATGAATTGAAGAATGGATGTAGAAATAGCTTTGTGTGACTTAAAAGTGAAGTCTCCAGTTGCCAAAACCAGGCGATATTTACAAATGTAACCACTAGGTGGCAGTAGATGGCTATGTGATACTGCTCAGAATTCTGGGTATAAAGGTAAACAGCACTCTTATAAATATTTTCTAACTAAAACCTTAAGACATTTTTCCTTTACATATTTTTATCTTATTACTATTTATTGGCCATAATTTAAATGCTTTTGTGGTTTTCACCTATGACATATAAAAAGCAAAGTCTTTTTAAAGTATTTTATCTTTCTGTGGTCAAAGAACTCATTCTACTTTTCTGTGATTTATTGTGAAATCCAGAAGCTATTTTCCATGAGTATTTATACCGACAGATCCATCCATCCATCTGGCAAATATTTTTTCGGTGTCTATTACGTGCCAACCACTGTGACATGAATTAGAAAGAAGCAAGTACTCTGAGAACTTTGGAAAGATACTTTTTCCCTTTTTGTAAATGTTTGTTTTATTTGATCAAATTACATATATTTTATCAAATTACATACATAAACTATATATATGTAGTTTAAACATCAAAGAGAGAGAGAGATGTCTAACAAAAAAACCAGCAAATTTAATCACAGCTCTTTAAGCTGTTTTCTCATTTTTTCTTTTCACATTTTTTTAAAAATATATTTTATTGATTTTTTACAGAGAAGAAGGGAGAGGGATAGAGAGTTAGAAACATTGATGAGAGAGAAACATCGATCAGCTGCCTCCTGCACATCTACTGGGGATGTGCCCGCAACCCAGGTACATGCCCTTGACCGGAATCGAACCTGGGACCTTTCAGTCCGAAGGCCGATGCTCTATCCACTGAGCCAAACCGGTTTCGGCTTCTTTTCACATTTTTAAGTGTATATATTGTTTATTTCTTGAGTCACAAATTTTAGGAATTGTCAGTTGACTTAGCATGATGTTAGAAAAACCTAGGAAAACCTACATTACTCTTGTTATTAGTTATAGCATAATTTTTGGATTCATTCTTATATAGTGTTTTCAATGTTTTGACGATGTAAATATTCCTGCTGAGCTAAGTAGTATATGATGTTTATTTCCATTTTCTTAGCAATTTTTTCTTGAACAGTTGCCTTAATCTTTCTCCTACTTATGTTGTAAAAATGTGGGACCATTTCATTCATTTATTCAAATACTATTTTTAGGTCACCTACCATGTACTATTTATTCTACATGAGCAGACAGAAAATTCCCTACCTTGGATTTTGTATGGCTGGGGTGGGTAGCAGAAAGAGATGGCCTATAAGTAAAATATGTAGCAGTGTATGGAGTGATGACTACTAAAGAGAAAAACTGGTACTTGGGAAGGAATGTGTGTGACGGGCGTGGGGGCGGGGTTGGGAGATTAAAATTTTGAGAAGGCAAAAGGGCTCAATGGCAAGCTGGCATTTGGATAAAATCCTTAAGTTGATAAGGGAGAATGCCATGTGACTCTGGGAATGAGCATCCCTAGCAGAGAAATGGTATAAAGGCCCCGAGATTGGAAAGAAGGAGAAAAGAGAGGAAACAAGTGTGGCCTCGCATGGATTTGTAAAATGCCCCTAAATACCTGGTTAAGCTATTAGAAACCCTCTGCTGATATCTATAGATCTCTTTGAAGAGACTCCGTTTCTCCAGGGGAGGGACCTTCCTTTTCTGGTTTGGGAAATGTTGCCTTATTTTCAAGTTGGACGGGTAAGAACACTTAGTCCCCCAGCTCTCAGTTCCATGAACTTTTGTGCTCCCTCCTCTTTCCCTAGGCCCTAGGTCTGTCTACTCAGGTCCGAGCTGAGAATCTGGGGTCGAACTTGTGTCCTGAAGCAGGCAGATGCCTGGCGCTCACCCCAATGGCCCTCCTTTCCAGTGTCTCCCCTGCAGGCTCCCAGGTCTGCCGCCTCCTCTGCAGATGCTACGGTGTGGAGCCCAGAGCGATCTGCTGTTAGAGTAAACAGCAGTCTCCTCCTGGCATTGAAAATGAAGCTGTGGAACCTTTCCCCCTTTTCCTGTTCTGGATTTTCAAGAGAAGAAATTGGGCAGAAATACAATACCCCTTTTAATGCAAGTACTAGAGGAAGCTGTAGGAAATCAGTGCTTTGGGTGGCCAACATGACCTGCCATAGAGGTGTTGCCTACGATTACTTACTGGTAATTGAAACAGATCAGTGGCCGGGTGATCAGCAGGGATTAGGAGAGGCTTTGCATCCGTGAGTTCTTTTCCTTTAACGTCAGAGAGTGTAGGAACCATCGTCCCGGGAAGGAGGAAGGTGGGCCCTGAACGTGCACCAGGCACCGGCACCCAGAGCCTCCTATTTCAGCAGAGCTTTTAAGGGCTGGAGTTGAGTAACCTGAAGACGGTAACAACATGATCCAGAGAATACAGAACTGCTTACAAAAGTCAGTGGTAAATTAAGACAAGAACATACTGAACGCTCCTCTCATGTAACCTATTTGTGTGTGTGAAACAAGGGGCTCTGGCTGTACTCATTCATCTAACCACCGTTCATCGAACTTTTACTGTGTGTCAGGCACGGCCACTCCAGACTCTCCCTGACCTCTCTCTCGGTTTCCTCTAAGAATCCTGGGACCCTTCTCTTCTTAAGTAGAATAGTTCAAACACTTTTCTTTAATGGTTTAAAACATCTAGACATAAGCATTATAAGAGATTTGAAAGGTGCTTATTGAACTTAGTGATTAATAACCAGGGTTAATAATCAGGGGAAAACACCCGCTTCCGTCCATGCTGCCTGTTGGCATTCCTCTTCCAGGGGTGACGCGGTTTACTTCTGCTCACATCTCAGACAACAGTGGATGCAGTTGGTCTCTTCATTTTGTCATCTACCTGCATAAGAAGAAAGTCATTTGACATGTTTATATATTTTAACTTTTAAAAATCATAAAAGACATCTGTACTGTATTCCCAAACCTGTAACTTACAGGCATGTAGAGTAGAAACTAACTGATCACTTCAGGCACATTTTCTTAGGATTTCTGGAATATAATCAAGCTTTTTAAAAATTGCCACTCGATAAAATCACATTCTTTTTGTTTTAATAAATTTTTTGGAAAAGTGCAGGAACATAATCTTCTCACCCAGAAACAAATGCGTTGTCTTTTTGTGTGTATAATCTGATTTTTGTTTCTGAGGGAACCACCTCACTTGGGTTTACAAACTTGGTGTCTTGCACACAATTTGTACCCTGCTTTTCCCCACTTCACAGTATCAGTGATCCATTTTAGGATCATACAGAAAATGCCTTTTTAAAGAGCTGATAATAGTTCACAGTATGGATTTATCACTTATTTATCTGTGTTGCTACTTTTAAGATGATTGCAGTTTTTCACAGCAATCCCAACGTTAACACTTTCATATATTCATTTTTGCTTCTCTTTAGGACAAATTTCTACATGTCTGGCTTATTTGTTTTCAAGTATTGCATATAATCAAACAAAATGCTAGAACCATGACAATATCAAAGGTGGAACCTTGGTGTGCTCATCGGTCCTTCACATTGATCGGCGTATTGCTCTGCTGTGATATTCCTGCGACAACGTCTCATCCTGCCTTTCCCACGTCATGGCATGTGTAGAAGGTGATAATATTTTCATGGCCACGTGCTCTAACCCAGAGGTTCCAGCTGTGTATTGTGATGCCCCAGGCTCCTCCCAACTGTGCGGAGGGTTGTGTGTGTGGGGGGAGGGGGTGGCGGGGGGGGGGGATGGTCAGCATGTCTGTGCAGGGCAGCTCTGGTAGAGAGATCTCTGAGAATCCTGCTGTCTTTTCCTGTGAAATTTATCCTACGAAAAATAAGGTCTAGACAGGAACCGAGTGATCTTTGTAAAATTATCTTTCATTTCCATTTTCAGTGACTTCATGTACATGTATCATTGAGGTAGGCATCTCTCAGACCTGGGAAGTGGTCCTGCCCCGAGTCCCAGTGTCTCCCCAGTTCCCCCCCCCCCCCCCCCCATCCCGCCTGCTGAATCCGACCAGTAACTCTGAGAAGGTCGACGCGGGCTGCTTTCTCTCTTTTGCAGACTGGCATTCCGTGTCGCTTCTGATTGCACTTCATCAAAGGCATTAGATTCCATTTCAATTAGTGCACCAGCTGAGCAAGAGGGCTGCTTGTCAGAATTTAATTTCCTCGCCAGCAGTTTATGCCTCTATTGCAAACAGAATGAGCCACTTGAAAAGAATGACAAGTATTTTTTTTCCCTCCAAGAATCCCTCTGCTGTGTGAGCACTTAGGTAATTAATGCACTTGTCACTGTGCTGTTAGAAAGTGTGGCCATAGGAGAGGCTACACTGTCAAATTATACTCCACGTGGAGGAGGAAGAAAATGGGTTACACATTCGAGTGAAAATGTCATTGGGCCAGATACATCTTGTAAAGAGCTCATCGTGCGGGGTCTACAGGGAGGCGGTGATAGATATGAGTGCAGTGATTTTAGATCAGAGCCATTAACCAGTCACCTCAAGGGGTAAAATGAAATTCTCAAGATGTCCGATGACTGTTGCTTCAATTCACTTTAATGGTTATGGCTACCACCTAATGGTTTTAGGATAAGGAACAATTACAGGAAAATACAGGAAAAGGAACAATCTATCCAGAGGGCGTGTCAACCCCCTCACGCCTGTCCCAAAGACTTGGAGGCACAGCTCCACTTCTTGGCCAAATGTGCAAAGTTAGCCTTCAGACGTCAGTGGCTGGTAGAGGCTGCGTGCGGCTTTCGAGTCATAGACCTGAGTTCAAAATTGTTCCCTGCCCCTCTTTAACTCTAGGATGTTTAACTACTTAACTTCTCCTGCTCAGCTGAGTTTCCTCCGCTGAAAAGCAAGTGGACGAGAACCCCAAAGAAGTCGTGTGGAGTCAATACGAACAACCTGAGTGAGAGTGGCTCCTCCTGAGAGCTCATTATATACTTGGCGTCCATCCAGCGACCCTGGCTATTGTCCCCATTTTCCAGATCAGGAAACCGAGGCTCAGAGAGGATAACTCTCTGAAGGTCACACCACCGGTCAGTGTTGCAACTGAAATTCAAAATCCTGGCTCTGGCCTCAAAGCTCCTTCCCACAAACCAAAACAGCAGTTTTGGCACAAAGTAGATGTTCAGTAAATGCTTTGCTGTTGTTACTGTTTTCTTCCAACCCATCCCCATCTTCAAATACAAAATTTAATAGACTGTTTTTTAAAAAACATATCCAAAGAAAGTTTAGCCCCTGCAAAACATGCTACAATTCACAGGCATTTGATAAACTATTAATCTAGGTCATTTAACAAATTGACTCTAATTCAGCAGACTTTGGGTCATTTGAATTCTTGTTTTGTACCAACTTAGTGCATGCAACACGGGAGACTTTATATGATGCGGGTGCAGTGAAGTCTGAAGGTGGTACTGTTGCTGCTCATTTATCCAAACATGATTTCTGAGAATCTGCTATTGTCAGTGAAAGCCAGAAGCACTGTGTTTGCCGCCCAGTGAAGGGTGAACAAGATCAAGTCCCTGCCAGTTAGGAGGAATGAGAGTGGCCAGGGTCAAGCTCACAGCTCATGCCCTCTCATCCTCGTGCCCTCCCTCCCCCCGTCCCCCTGCTTCATTTAACAGAATGGAAATAATCTCTCCATGTCATCTTGGCTGCACATACTGGTGCTCCTGGGGCTCGGGTGCCCCTCCTATCATTCATTCATTCACCCCATTCCATTTATTTTGCAGGCTGCATTAACAAATACTTGTTTAGTCTTGACCCTTTGCTACACCTTATGCACATAAAAGTGAATGAAACTTGGCCTTTGAGGAAAACATGTGTCCGTGTGGTCCAAGATTTGTGCGTAATGAAGCAATACATTTAATAAAAACAGGACTGTCATGTTTAGTGTTTTATTCTCCCAGCCCCCATGCTCTAGTGCAGTGGTTGGCAAACTGTGGCTCTGCAAACCGTGGCTCACGAGCCACATGCGGCTCTTTGGCCCCTTGAGTGTGGCTCTTCCACAAGATACTGGCTCTTCCACAAAATACCAACTTCTGCACATGGGCCACAAAGTTTCAATCGCACTGTACGTGTGCGCCCGCAAGTGATGGAGTCCCTGACATGTCTCTCTTGCCTTGGGCAGTAGGAAAATTCTAACAGCTGTGGGGTTGTTTGCTTGTATGTTTGTTTGCATGCCACTTGATCATCCTTTTATGAACATCACAGGCAATATTCACATTTATTTCTTTGATTGTAACATCTTCTCTCTAGATGACAGAAAAGAAGAGGTGTTTTAATGTGTTCAGCTTTTGTGTTTGGGGATTTTTTGTAGGGGTGGCAAGTGCATTGAGAAGGAAATGAAAGAGGCAATTTCTCACACATTCCTCTGTCTGCATGGACAAAGGATGCCCCCTGTCCTCTGGGCCGACCTTCTTCCTTTCCCTGCACAGGTGACAATGGCCTTCCCCTCCTTGGGAAATAGCCCACACCCATCGTTCTCTTTATCCAAATCCTTATGTATCCCAATAATCAGGGGGAACGTTTCCTGCATTTTTTCAGGTTTATGCAGCCTCTTCCTTTATCCTTGTTACTAGAAAGTGTATTGTAATACACACTCTGGAACCTGATGTTGAATTTACTGGCATTTTCCCTATGTTCTCAGGTTGCCTTCTATAGACACTCAGGATATGGAGGTGGCGTATGGTGCCTCAGGCAGTAGCCATCCCTATGGGTCAGCAGGTGAGGATTCTCTGAGTCAGAAGGAGGGTCTCAGGTCTTCCTAGCTCCGTGGTCAGCAAACTGCGGCTCGCAAGCCATATGCGGCCCTTTGGCCCCTTGAGTGTGGGTCTTCCTAAGCCTTAGGAGTACCCTAATTAAGTTAATAACAATGTACCTACCTATATAGTTTGTTTAAAAAATTTGGCTCTCAAAAGAAATTTCAATCGTTGTCCTGTTGATATTTGGCTCTGTTGACTATGAGTTTGCTGACCACTGTCCTAGCCAAACCCACCCCTCACCTGCCAATCCCGACCCAGGTGGTTTGTTTTTATACAAGCACCTACCTTCCCTAATCCCACTGATGACCAGCAGATTCACGGGTACATCTGTTTTATGACTGCCTCCACAGTGCGCATAGTAGGTAAATTACTGAATTGCTTTTGTACTGTATCTTCATGCATATCAACAAGAAACTTGAATATTCCTAATCTTCCTTAAGTATTTTCTTCTGTACACAATATCTTACTTGGATTAATGTGGAATAAAACATTGTGAATGACATGAAGGAATCGTAAAAGATTTTTTTATGGTATACTGTAATTAGCTCTTGAGATTAAGATACATGTACATTTAGTAAAGTCTATATGCTCTAAATAAAATTTTAATTCTTGAATTGCATTGTTTTACATCTTACAGAGTTATACAATGTTCTTACAGTATGCAAACAAATAAAATTCTCACATATTAACTAATAATGCAACACAAATATTCTTAGAGTGAAAAACATGTTTCCTCCTTCTTGCTATTGACAGGAGAAATAAATATTTAAAAAGTCTCATCCCTTTGACAAATGCATTAAAAATCCATTAGTCTGACAAATAGCATCTTTTCCTGATAAGTTACAAGTTCCCAAATATGATAAAAGACATAAATCATAGAAATTTTGTCCTCTTAAAGCCGCCAGACAATGGGTTCCCTCATTCTCTCATTTTATGCAACAGATAATTGTTGGTGTCCACTGCATCCTAGACACGGGGCTGCTTCACAAGCCGGGGGTGAGGTTCCAGCAAGAAAACGGAGAGGTGCAGTGTGGCACGTGGTTGGCGTCAGGATAATGGACACGGTGAACTGGGGGAGCGCAGGGGAGGGGCACAGAGCCCAGACTTGGGGGATGAGCTCACGGCAAGATCTGAGCGACTCCAGAGAAGCGGATGGGAAGTGGTGTTGCATGCAGCAGGAACATGTGGGAAAACTGGGGGGAAGAGGGTGAATGTGATGTGTGAGGAACCAGAGGAACTTCACAAGGTTGGCGAGTGGAGCAGGTGCTTTTGAGGGAAAGGATGCTTAGGAAGGTCAAGACTGGAAGGCCACGTTGTGGAAGGTCTTGGGAAATGTGTGGAACTTGATTCAAAGGAGCAGGGGGCCTCCATGGAAGGGTTGTCTGGAGGGATGGATATATTTGTTTATATGATTTTAACCCAATGGAATTTTATAATAAATTGAGGTGAAATCATTGACTTTGAATATATTGAAGGGGTGTAAGATGGGAGCCAGGGGAGTTAATTAGGAGGCTGTGATAGTAATTCCTGTAAAAGACAATGATTGACTCAACTGGATTAGGGGCCGTGCAGATGGAGGGAAAGTAGATGATTAGAATCAACAGGATTTGGTCTATTTTGTGCAAGAGGCAGAGAAGGTTTCCAGACTTACCTCACACACTTGCTGTGTCCCCACAGGGTGGGTAGGGGTGAGGAACTCGGTGGGACCTCTTTGATAAGGGCAGTAATCCCATGCATGAGGGCTCCACCCTCATGACCTCATCACCTCCCAAAGCTCCCTTCCTCCCAGACCATCACATTGGAAATTAGGTTTTAATGTAAGAATTTTGGAGAGACACAAGCATTCTATCCATAACAAAGTCTGTTTAGTCAATGCTGTTATAGGCTGCATCAGTCTTACCTTTGCTTTATATTTGAGATACATCTTTCATCTTTTTTATTCTCAATGGTTCTGACCCTTACGTATTAGGTGAGACTCATGTAAATAGCATAAAGCTTCTTAATTTTTATTTAATCAGAATATCTTGGGAGCTTAGTCCATTTACATTCTGATTTGACAGGTTTGTTCTTTTAGCACTTCAAGGACGGCGTTCCCAAGTCCTTTTGTCCTTCATCATTTCGTTACTATTTATTGTAATGGCCCCCAAACATGCTCTGTTCCCTCAACCCTGTGAAATGTTGCTTTACACTGCATATGGGGCTTTGCAGACTGGAGGCAGGGAGGCGAGGCAGAAGTTAAAGTGAGAGATTTGAAGCATGAGTGGGACTTGACCCGCCATGGCTGGCTTTGCAGGTGGGGAGAGGAGCGGGGTCAAGGCATGCAGCCCATGCCTAGAGCTGAGGTGGACCTTAGTCCTGCAGTACATGGAGCTGGATGGCGCCAATGGCTTGAACACGCTTGGAAGCGGATTCATCCTAGAAGCTCTAGGAAGGAGCGCAGCTCGCTGACTCTGATTTTGTCCTTGTGAGGCTCCGAGAGGGCCAGCCGAGCCACTCCCTGCTGGACTTCTGGACTAACTAACTGTGTGATAATGAATGAGTGTTGTTAAGCCTCTAAATTAATTTAATTGAGGTCATTTGTTATGACAGCAGTAGGACGCTAACGTGGTTTCTGGTGAGAAATCAGCTGTTGGATGGATTAATTGTTCCCCAGAATGTATAATACACCTTGTTTTTCTTTGAACACGTTTTATCTTGGGCTGTCAGCTGCGGAGGATGTGGAGCTACAGGAACTTTCAGTCACTGCCAGTGGGAACGCAAAATGGTGCAGCCAGTTTGGAAGACATGTTGGCGATTTCTTACCAAACTAAACAAACTTACATGTGCTCCAGCAATCATTCCTCTTGTTATTTAGTCAAAGGAGAACTGAAAATGTATGTCCACACAAAAACCTGCACAGGGAAGAAAAAGAGGCGCTTTATTCATAGTTGCCCGAAGCGGAAAGCAACAGAGATGTCCTTCAGTAGGTGAATGGAAAACCCGTGGTACATCCAGACAATAGAATATTTATTCAATGCTAAAGAGAAATGAGCTAGCAAGCCATGAGAAGACATGGAGGAACCTTACATTCATGTTAGGCAGTGAAAGAAGCCAATCTGAGGAGGCTACCTACTGTATGATTCTAACCACGGACACTCTGGAAAAGGCAAAACTAAGGAGACAGTAAAAAGATCAGTAATTGCCAGAAACGGAGGGGAGGGAGGGATAAATCAGCAGAGCAGAGGATTTTTAGGGCAGCGAAAATACTCATAATGATGGACACACAATTGTCCAAACCCATAGAACGTACAGTATCAGGAGTCAACCCTAATGCCTTTGGGTGATAGTGCTGTGTCAACGCAGGCTAATGGATTCTCAGGAAGGTACCCTTTTGCTGTGGAATGTAGATTGTGGGGGCAGGGGGACTGTGCATGTGGGTGGACAGGGGGCATATGGGACATCTCTGTACTTCCCTTCAATTTGGCTGTGAACTTAGCATGGCTCTAAAATAAAATGTATTCATTAAAAACCCTATTATTTAACTCGGTTAATGCAGCCACGAATTCCTTCCTCGGTGTTCCCATTCCTTGCAGACACTCCATTTCACCTCTGCATCTCACTTGAGCATCCTCAGTGCACGCTGCCACCTGCGTGGTGAGGACCATGTTTTGAGCCAAGCGTGTAAACTCTTTCCCGAACAAGTACGTTAATGAATGACAGGGCACTGATTCTAATCTAGGACTTGGCCGTGATGGCACGGATCCAGGAAAATGTGAGAGGGGAAGCCCTAGTCAGACAGGGGACACGGTGGATTTATTTAATTCCTTGCTAAGTATCGGTCGGGCGGCTTGACTGGAAAGTTGCAGGCTTGTCTGGTCCCATCGCAGACGCTTCTGGAATGACTCCAAAGGCCTGGGGGCCGGTAAGTTACTACTGAGGTTGTAGATTTCATGGTACTTTCATGGCGTTATTTTGAAGAGCTATCGGGTGAATATGCGTCCGACAGGGTGGGTGTCTGCAGGAAGAGCTCGGCAGGTTTGGAGGCTAAACGTGTTTCGGGTCAGTTTCTGCCCCGAAGAAATCCGGGAGACCTGCCTCGTGTGGCTGTGGAAGCAAGGTCGTGGCCACCTTAAAGCGACTCAGTCCGTGGCATTTGAAAGCGACATGAAAAGTTTATAGCTGCTCCGAGCCAGGGTTCCCACCGGAGTGGCTGTCATTTCCAGCGGCAGCATCCTCCGCTCTCGCTCTGATGGCCCCGGGAAGCCCGCAGAGGCTGTGCCCACGTTGAGGACGAGCACTTGGGATTTGAAGGGCAGCGTTCACAACATCTCACAACAGAAGTAGCTGTTGGGGAAAATGACGGATGGCAAAAAAATAAAACTACTAAAAAATTTATAGCCAACATAAGAAATTATGGATGGCCTTTTCCGGGATGTGGGTGCAAGTGCAGAGAGCTGGGGAGCGATTTCTGGGTGACGAATAGTGCC